TTTCACCCCCCACCTCCTTGGGTCCTTGGATTTATGCATCCTTCCCTGCACCTTCCAGCAAGCTCATTTCCACTCAGCTCCGACGTTGCTTCCTTAAGTCTTCCACGATGCTCAGGTCCTGTGTCTTGCATCTCATTACCTAACTCACGGGACTGTCCCGCATGCAGGGGGAATTAGGAACAGAGGGCTAAGGGGCTGCCTTCCTCTCCTGTGTCACCAGCTAGGCCTGTAGAGTAGAGCTCCCAGGATGGCACTTCCCATGGGGGAGTCTTCTTCTTGATCCGAGAACCAGAAGATAATGTACTGGATTAATTCTCGTTCACATCTTCACATGCAATTTAAGTGGAGGGGAGAGGGGGAGGAGATGACCATGGTGGAAGAGCTCCTGCTTCTGAGCTCAGCAGGGCTATGCTTCCCTCCGCAGCCACAGACTGCGTCAGGCTGGCACTGCAGAACCTGTCCAGGCTCGCCGACACTCTCCCTGCTCCGGAGGTGAGTGAGGCTGTGAGCCTCGTCCTGGGCTTCGTGAAGGACTCCTACCCTGTCTCCTCGGCTCTGCTGCTGGAGTTTGAGAACGGGGAGGGCTACCCTTTGCTACTCAAGGTGTTACTTCGGTAAGTAGCTGGGCTTGGTGTGGGGAGAAACGGGGCCACCAAAGCCTCAGTCCTTGGATCATTTGGGGTGCTTTGGAGGAAGAGAGATATTGACGCTTCTCAGCACATCTTCTGTGGTACAAATCTCCATAGGGCATGGCCAGAGAGACCTCTTACTGCAGAAGTAATTCAATGTGCAGGTGGGTGTGGAGACAACTTCCTTGGGGAATCAGTGGGTGACAGAAATGTAGTTTTACCAAGTCCACATGGTGGCACATGCCACCTGCATGCCTGCTGGCCTGCCCTCCACCTGTCTGTGCTGGAGGCTTCCTGGGCCTGCTGTGAGCCACCCAGCCTGTGTGCTTGAAGCACTGGATGAGTCTGGTAATCCACAATCCCAGGAGCAGCTCTCTACCAGTGACTGGCAGGAGCTGAGGGGTAGTACCCAGCAAGTTGCCCCTGGGGTGGGACAGCCCTACGCTGCCTCCTGGGTTCCCCAGAGGATCAACTCCAGTTGCCCAGCGAGGCACTTGCTTGGTGATTCTTTCGTACCTTCCCCGTCTCACATCACCTCCCCCATCAGTATGTTCTGGGATCAGCTCCCAATGAACGACTTTTCTCTCAGACCCTTGAGCTGTGGGAAACCCAAACCAGGACACGTACCTTCCCCGTCTCACATCACCTCCCCCATCAGTATGTTCTGGGATCAGCTCCCAATGAACTACTTTTCTCTCAGACCCTTGAGCTGTGGGAAACCCAAACCAGGACACGGCTCAGCTGGGCCTGGATGAATTTTCTCCACTCTGATTTGCCATATCATCTTCAGGTTGGGTCCAGGATTAGAGCAAGAGATGGAAACCAAAGAAATTCTTTGACAGGCCAAATCTTCCACTGATCCTGGGGAGGCTGCTCAGGGCAAGGCCCCTGGGCTTTGCTTGGTGAATATGAGAAGCCCTTCTCCCTGGGGTGTGGGTCACCACAGGGCTTCACAGATTTCACTGCAGCATCAGGGTCAGTGTCTAGAGGGGTAACTTCTGTGAAGCAGCTTAAGTCCCTCAGTCCACAGTGTCTCCAAAAGAACGTGATTGAATGACAATACCCTGAGGGCTTTCCTCCAAAGGGATGCTAAGAATAAATGTCCCTCTGGGTACATCACGTTTGACATTAGTCTGGACTGTGACCAGCTGGCTATTGCCACCATGGAGGTCCATGTCACAGCATTTCCTGAACATTTCTTTGGTTCAATGGGTGGTCAGTTTTCCCAGACTCCTTGTGAAAGGCAGGAGGGGAAATGAGCCTGCTCCAGGGCGCGTGCAGGAGGACCCTTTCAGCTCATGGCCTTCCTGTCTGCCTAAGAGGAGACGCACTGTAGGCACTTTTTCTCTGGAAACGGCAGAGCTGTAGTTAAGACGTGAGAGGCCCTCATCCACAGGAAGAGCAAGGCAGCAGCCCTCCTGCCCAGAACTAAAATACAGAAACCATGCTCAACCTTAAAACAAGCAAAAGGGAGCCTAATACAGGTCGACTCATTCCCACACTGTCTGATTCGTTGCTCTTTTGAAATATTAAATGGATCATTTTGGAGATGCCCTAAGCACATGTCTTTTGGGGCCTAGCCACTGTAGCTGTGCACAGGTTCCTGAATTCCTATTGAACTTCTTTAGATCTAAGGCTGACAATTGCAGACTGAGTGGTGTTTATTCAGGACACTGCTTTCCTGTGGTGCTGAACTACCCCTGGGTGAAGGCCTTTGGGGTCCTCCCCAGCACCACAGATCTTCATGTCCTCTGTGTCCTGTGAAGGGCACTGTGCACAAATGTGCTCACTCCGGCCAAGAAGTGCAGGGAGCTGGCTCATCTATCTCCACAGGTACGATGGGCTGATGCTGAGCGAGGCTGACCCCCACCTGGAGGAGCTCATTGGGCTGGTGGTGTGGCTGACGACCTGTGGGAGGTCAGAACTGAAGGTGTTTGACAGTGTCACGTACCCTCAGCTTGAAGGCTTCAAGTTCCATCATGAGGCTTCTGGTGGGTCCTTCTGTGTCTCTGGGTGACTGTCAGAGTCAGAGCTGTGCCCTGACATGTCTACACAGATCTTCTCCTGGTTCCTTGTGCACCTATCAATGATGCAGTAGGATCTAATCTCCCTGAAGATTACCTATGGATCTCAAATCTCCCCTTTATAGATTTTTTTTCCAGATGTACAACCTCAGCTTTGCACAGTGAGGAAGTTTGTCTTGTGTGGGACCAAGGGGAAACATTGCTAAATAAAGGCAAAGACTCTCAAATAATGTAGGAGGCCTCTGATTCTACCCCCCAACTCTGGTGTGATTTACGCTATAGCATTTGCTTAAATAATGGGGACTGGTGGCTCAGAAACAGCCACCCAAGCTCAGAGTCAGTGGCTTCTCAGTATTTTTAGATACAGACTAAATGATGAACTACATTGGCATGCATCGGATGCTTTCTGTGCCCCAGGCTGGGTGCCAGTGTGAATGGGCCAAGTGTCTGCTTCCTAAAAATCCTCTTTAGAGACCATCAGGGAAAGTCTGCTGCATCAGGCACAGCTGTGACACTGGGTGGGTCAGTCAGGAAACTCTACACAGAGAGCCCACTGGAGGGAGTTTCTAAGGCTAAGTGTGGTTGTCCAGGCTGGAATGAAGGGGAAGAAGTTTAAAGGCAGAAAGCACAGCCTGGGGAAGAAATAGTGGCCTGGAGCAGCCAGAAATAGGTCTGAGAAAATGAGACATGCTGCAAAGCAGAGATCAAGGCTGCAAAAAGGGGAAGAAGTTTAAAGGCAGAAAGCACAGCCTGGGGAAGAAATAGTGGCCTGGAGCAGCCGAAATAGGTCTGAGAAAATGAGACATGCTGCAAAGCAGAGATCAAGCCTGCAAAGCTGCAGGGGCCAGTTAAAGAAGAGCCACAGGACAGGACTCCAACAGGTGCACAGGGACACAGATCAGGTTTAGGGCAGTACCTGTAGCAGAGAACAGTTCCAGAAACATCTCTGGCATCTGAGGCAAAGAAGGCTGGAGGCAGGAAGCTTTCCGAACAAGTGTCTCCTGGGTGAGAGAGGATGAGGCTTAACCTTCAAGCTGGAGAAAAAAGCAGGGGTGGATTAGGAAGGAATATTTATTTAACAGCTTGTCTAGAAATGAAACTGACTTTGCTTAGTAATCTTTGACATCATTTGATTTTTAATTCGTTGAGACCAATTCTCCCAGCCCTGCTCTGTTCAGTGGAAATGTAATGCAAGCCACGTTATGTAATTTTAAATGTAATTTTAATTTAATTTTTTTTTAATTTTTATTTTTTGTTAAATTTTTATTTTGTCAATATACAATGTATAGTAATTTTAATTTTAAATAAGAAGAAGTAGGGTAAATTATTTTTGGTAATGCATTCTATTTAACTCAATGTATCCCAAATAGTACCATCTCAATGTATGGTCAATACACGCAGTAACTGTTAATGAGATATTTTGCATTCTTCTCTCCATGCTGTCTCTTAGAAATCTGGTGTGTATTTGACACTCCTGGCACCCCTCAGTTCAGAGCAGCCACAGTTAGAGGGCTCAGTTAGCCACCTCATCTTGGACGATGCAGCTCCAGCCATCTTCCCATCCTGGGTGGCTGGCTTTTCTGCTTTTGATAGATACCCACAGGAGCTAGAAAGTAGAAGCTTCAAAAGCATGTCCTAACGATAATGCAAACATGTATTTCTAGACACAGGCAGGAGAAATGATTTGCAGGATTACTCTTGTTTTCATCTTCAGGGGTGACTGTTAAGAATCTTCAGGCCTTCCAGGTTCTGCAGAATGTTTTCCACAAAGCCAGCGATTCTGTCCTCTGCACACAAGTCCTGTCGGCCATCAGGACCATGTGGACCTGGAATGCTCGCAACTTCTTCCTGCTGGAGTGGACCCTGCAGCCCATCTCACAGTTTGTGGAGCTTGTGCCCCTGAAGCCAGCCCTGGTGCAGGTGCACTTCTTCCAGCTGCTAGAGGCCCTGGTGTTTGAACTGCACTATGTGCCCCATGAGATCCTGTGGAAGGTGCAGCGTCTGATCAAGGAGAGTCCAGAGCCCTCCTGCACCCTTGTGGCCGTGCAGAGCATCCTCAGGATTGCTGGTGGGGACCCGCTCTTCACTGACATCTTCCGTGACTCAGGACTCCTGGGCTTGCTTCTGGCCCAGCTGCGGAAGCAGGCCAAGATCATGAGGAAGTCAGGTGTGCCCAGGAGCATCAGGAGGGATGGGCGAATGGTGTGGGGTCAGTGTTAGCCAGGCCTGGCCTATGTGTCAATATGGCCATCATCCATGTAACAGACAAAGGGAGTATGCCCATATCACTGGGCTTTGTGAGGGTCAGAGAAGGTACCTGGGCTTCACGTGGTTTCAAAAGAACAGGTATCTCCCTAGTCATCACACAAAGATGTAAGAGGGTGAACTTTTTTTTTTTTTTTTCCTTTTTGTCTTTTTTCATGTCTGGCAACGGATCGCAACCCTCAGTGTCGCGCCCGTACCGGACCGGGACCGGCAACGGGATCGCAACCCTCGGTGTTGTGCCCGCACCTCACTCAGCCAGTGAGCGGGAACCGGTCTGTATGTGGGATCCGAACCCTTGGCGGGAGCGCCACTGCGCTCCCAAGCGGCGCACTGTAGCAGTGCACCACCGGGCCGGCCCCCAAGAGGGTGAACTTTAAACAGGATCTTGGGGCTAACTTAGGCCCCATGAATTCTCACCTTTCGGATATCACCTGCCCTAGACATTGGATATGTAGATGGGGAGATGGCAGGGGGCCAATGGGTCCTCAGTTATGCAAAGAGAATGGGACCTCAGGAAGGCCTGGGCTTCAGGGCCCCTCTGGCATCTGCTGGGATACTGGTCACCTTGCTTACTCTGTGCCAACTGGTCCGATGTTCTTCCAATGGGGGAGGGGTCACAAAGGCCTTGCTGGACCGAATCTTGGTCCCGTCTTTGTGAGCTCTGCTGGGCTATGGCTTCCTGGCAATGTCCCCTTCCTTTTTGTCTTTTTTCATGTCTGGCAACGGATCGCAACCCTCAGTGTCGCGCCCGTACCGGACCGGGACCGGCAACGGGATCGCAACCCTCGGTGTTGTGCCCGCACCTCACTCAGCCAGTGAGCGGGAACCGGTCTGTATGTGGGATCCGAACCCTTGGCGGGAGCGCCACTGCGCTCCCAAGCGGCGCACTGTAGCAGTGCACCACCGGGCCGGCCCCCAAGAGGGTGAACTTTAAACAGGATCTTGGGGCTAACTTAGGCCCCATGAATTCTCACCTTTCGGATATCACCTGCCCTAGACATTGGATATGTAGATGGGGAGATGGCAGGGGGCCAATGGGTCCTCAGTTATGCAAAGAGAATGGGACCTCAGGAAGACCTGGGCTTCAGGGCCCCTCTGGCATCTGCCGGGATACTGGTCACCTTGCTTACTCTGTGTCAACTGGTCCGATGTTCTTCCAATGGGGGAGGGGTCACAAAGGCCTTGCTGGACCGAATCTTGGTCCCGCCTTTGTGAGCTCTGCTGGGCTATGGCTTCCTGGCAATGTCCCCTTGCCCCTGCCTCAGCCCCTGCACACTGGAGTCTCAACCTCAGCAGCCTCTGTGCCCCCAGGGCTTCAGGGTCCCTGCTGTCCTCAAGGGGGTGCATAGTGGGCTCATTCACTTTCTCATCATGCCCCAGGCCACGTATCCTTCTGGGGCCACTCTACGTAGTGGTCTGCAACCCCCACATCCACTAGCTTTCACATAGGAGGGTGTGGGCTTTCACATAGGAGGCAGGGTGTGAAATCTCCTTTCCCAGTTCCTCTTGGCTTTTCCTCATCTGTCTGCACCTGCTTCTCTGGGAAATCAGGCTGGAGGAGTGATGCCAGGACACAGGAACCAGCCACTACCTCTCTCCACTTTCTCGTCCTCTCCTCCTGCTGCACGGGTTGGGAGTGGCTGGGCACCTTCTAGACTTCGGCTGCTTTTGGAATTCTGCTTCAGACTTAACACAATGTCATCTGTGGTCTGGGTCTCTCTGAGGACAGAAGCTGAGGAAGAAGCTGAAGGAGAGAGTGTGAGCATTGGAACCAGACAGCCCTTGGCTGGAATCCTGGCCATGTTACTCTGTGAGCCTGTTCCCTCCTCTGTAAAGGAAGGGTAACAACTCCATTATAAGGATGCTGTGAGAATTAAATGAGCAAAGCTCTGGAAAGGTCCCATTGCTGTGCCTGGCACATAGTAGGTGCTCAAGAAAGGTTAGTCACCTTGTCCCTAGAGTTTTAGTGCTGCTTAGAAGACTGAGGTGGACACTCAGGGAGGAGGAGGAGCTCAGGCATCTTCTGGGGGCCATGCAGGACCCATGCCCTTCCCAGGAGTGTAAACAGCCTCAGGACTGCCGAGGACGGTCCTTTGTCATGAGCTTCTTTCCAGTGCTCAGGTACTTCCTGCCTTCAATCTCACCAGGAGTGAAGTTAATAAATTGCCTTCCTTAACTGGGAAGTCTTTGCACAGTCTTTTGGTTTACTGTTTCTGTGTTATATTAGCTGGGTATTGCTTTTCGGCAGCCTAGCATCAAATTTGCTTTTAAATCCAATCTGAGGTCTCTGACCATTTCCAGGAGAATTTGAACATTTTTTTTTTTTTTTTGGTGGTTCGCCCATGTAGGGATCTGAACCCTTGACCTTCGTGTTACAAGGCTCTGCTGTAACCAGCTGAGATAACTGGCCAGCCCCTCATGTATCTAGTCTTACTTTGTGATTTCTATTGTTAAATGTGTCTTGCTGCTTCTTACATGCCCTGTCTCCTGACTCATAAACTCTTCTTTTACTGGTTGTCATTCATTCCCCCAATATGTACTGTGCTTCCTATTTGTGTCAGGCACTTTTTCAGCACTGGTGATTCAATGGTGAACATGGAGGCCTGGTTTTGTGCTTGTGGATCTAATGGGGCTGCTTATTGACTCCAGAATCTCTGGAGCTTCTCTACAGCTCGGGCACTGAGCTGGCAGTCCTCTCTCCCTGGCATGAATGGCAAACTATAAAAGTGGCCAAAGGAAAATCAAGGAAGCAGGGCTCTGTATATCATCTAGGGCATGCTTCTAGCCCCATTAGCATCCCCTGGGAAGTTTGTAAGAAACGAAAATTATAGGACCCCAGCCAAGTCCTGCTGAGTCAGGAGCTCTGGGAGTGGGCCCAGCACGGGGATCTAGATTTTAATGATAAGCTCTGCAGGGGATTCTGATGTGTTCAAGTTGGAGAGCTCCTGCTGTAGGGGGTAGCTGGGTTACATTTTATGGGTTGGGATGCACACTCCTTTATATTGAAAGCATTGTATTCACATCTCCTTAAGAGGACAGAAAACTAATGGAATCAGAGATTTTGGATCATACCTTGTGTACTTAAAATTGTATTTGTGGCTGCTTATTAAACATGGCAGGAAACAAAGAGTCCACTCCTGGTGCTCAGGATCCAGAAAGAGAACTCACCTGCGTGATGCTGAGAACCGTTGTCACACTTCTGAACGGCTCGGTTCGGAATGCAGGTAAGGATGGTACCCATTTTGCCTTGTCACTGCTTGGTAAAACCTTAACTATTTCCTGGTTATTGATGTCAGTGTTCGAAGGTTATATTCAAGGAATAGCTAATGTCCACTTGCTGGTTGACGCTCAGTGAACATCGATGAATTGGTAGATACCTCAGTTGAGACTTTTCACTTCTGAGGTTGCTAAATAAGGTTGGTGAGCAAAGAGACCGTATTTAATCTAGTACTTTCTAAACTTATGAGACCACAGAGTCCCCTCCTCTCTTCTTAAGTACAAATCTATTAATATCCTGCAGCACCGACCATAGATGCCCTTAAATCCAAAGAGTAAAATACAAACAAAGAAAACTAGTCATTTTAGAGAATTTGATATGTTCCCAGCTCATGATGGACTTAGCAGCTCCATTCATCCCCCAATTTTTTATCTTCCTAAGATCATGTGGCTTCTAGGTTTTTGAAAAAAATATGTGCATAAAATATATATGTGTGTATTTATTAGAATATGAAGTAGATGCACCAACAAAGTTAGATCAGTGGGTTTGGTGATTTGGGCATCTTTATCTGAGGCCTTTGTAGATTGTACCAAATGTAAAATGTTCTTTCATGACAGCAGAGAGAAAGTATATAACATTAGTCTGCAAAAGACTCCCTGGAGGAGCTGGTTAAAATGCATATTCCATGCTGACTCCCAGACACCTACTTGTAAACAGGCCCCGCAGGAGATTTCAAGACAGGGGGTACCTGTCCCATAATTGGAGAAATTCTGCCTTCTGCAGTTGACCTGCTCAAATCCACATCAAGCCATTTGAAGGATCCAATTACTTCTTAGTTTTCATTCCACACATATTACTCTAAATATCAATCCTGGGGAAGAAATGTGTACGATTACTTTTAAACAGACGTATCATTAGCCAGATTAAAAAAATCTTCTCCCTCAATAAACTACCTAGGAATTAAATATGTTCTTAACTTAAATATTCTGGTTTGTTTTCTATAAGAATTTTGCCAGAGAGGAGTGAGAGAATTGTTACTGGCTCTGGATTATGGAATTACAGGGAAATTAAGGGAGACACAGAGCTAGTTACAGTTTATATTACTTTGGTTTCTAAAAATAAGGGTGTTTTTTTTTCTTTTTTTCCCACCAAGAGTACAATACATTATTATTATTATTATTTATTTATTTTTTTTGTCTTTTTTTGTGACCGGTAAGGGGATCACAACCCTTGGTGTGGTGTCACCCGCACTGCGCTCAGCCAGTGAGCACACCAGCCATCCCTATATAGGATCCGAACCAGCGGTGGGAGCGACACTGCGCTCCCAGCGCTGCACTCTCCCGAGTGCGCCACGGGGCCGGCCCACAATACATTATTATTAAACGTAGTCACCACCTTGTACAATAGATCTCTTGACTTCCTCCTCCTATCTTGAACTTATCTCCTATGGGGAGATATTGGTCAAAGAATTTTTTTTTTTCAAAACTAGAATTCTCACTGGAGAAAAAAGCAATTTTTCTTTTTAAATCTCAGCCCCACAGTTTCTCTTTTCTTCTCGTTTTAATAGTGGGTATGACTTACAAAAAAACTTGCCAATGGGGGGAAAAATCATAAAAATGTGTCAAAATGATCTTCGAAAAGTTTAAGAAAAAGCTTTCCTTGTGCTTGAAAGTAAGGTGCCAAGGCCCCCCTGGCTTTAGCCCCATCCTGTATGTCTGGTCCCCAGTTGTCCTGAAAGACCACGGCATGGTGCCCTTCATCAAGATCTTCCTGGACGATGAGTGCTACCGGGGGGCCTCGCTCAGCATCCTGGAGCAGCTGTCCGTCATCAGCGCTGAGGAGTACATGAGCATCATCGTGGGCGCTCTGTGCTCGTCCACTCAAGGGGAGCTGCAGCTGAAACTGGATCTCCTGAAGGTGATTTCGAGTGCTCCTCTGTGGTTGGCTTTCCCAGGGGTATGCACGGCATGGTCCACACTTGCTCACCTGTTTCTTCATGCAGTGGGCCACTGTTTTGGGCAAGTAGTATCTTGTATTAGGTAGCAGTAGGTGCTGTCACAAGTAAATCCTACATCCTCAGTAGCCCGACACATTAGAAAGTTCTTTCTCAGGTACCGTGCAATCAATGATTGGGATTGTTGTTCCAGGACAGCTGTCACTGGGCGTCTAACTCAATCAGCAGGCAAGGGGAGAGAGGCCACGGAGAACCGCACAAGGCACTCTCATTCGGGACTAGGGCTGGCACGTGTCTGTCCAGTTTTCTTTGGGCAGAGCTTTGGGTAGGACTCACCTGGATGCAAGGGGTGGCAGGAAATGTCCTCCCTGGCTAGGCAGCTACTTCCCAGCAGCACCATAAGCTGTGGGAGTGGGGCCTGAATCCATGGGGGCCAAAGAGCTGCCTTGTTGACTTCACCGGCATTTATTGGGCATCTAAAAATTACCAGGCCTGATGCAGAGTGCCTGGGGTGTACAGTTGAGTAAAATACAGCCCTGGCCATCTGGGAGCTCAGAGACTAGCACTGATAATAAGTGAGCCACACTTACATTGCAGAGTGGTAAATGCCTGGGTTAGACATTGAGCACAGACTGCCATGGTAATATCGGGGGAAGGGTCTGGGGAGCCCAACATTTGGCCTCAACCCACCCAGTCCTCTTTCCAGGTTCTTGACTCTGCCACAGGAAAGAAATCAAGGGAAGAGTCACAGCAGAGGATGAGAACAAGTTTAATAAAATAGATAAGAAATACAGGTTCCATGGAGAGAGTGTGGCACAGTTCCAGACACTGAGCAGGGCCCACACCAAGTTTAACACAAAAGTAAGCTCAATACAGACATCAAGTCTTAACACAAAAGCGAGAAACAATGGTAATATCGGGGGAAGGGTCTGGGGAGCCCAACATTTGGCCTCAACCCACCCAGTCCTCCTTCCAGGTTCTTGACTCTGCCACAGGAAAGAAATCAAGGGAAGAGTCACAGCAGAGGGTGAGAACAAGTTTAATAAAATAGATAAGAAATACAAGTTCCACGGAGAAGTGTGGCACAGCTCCAGACACTGAGCAGGGCCCACACCAAGTTTAACACAAAAGTAAGCTCAATACAGACATCAAGTCTTAACACAAAAGCAAGAAACGCATGCTTAAAAGTTCAGTACAGAGTGAAAGGGGGCTCCAGAGAACGAGCAGCTGCTTACTGAAAGTAAGTCTGATCCAAAGTAAATTATACACACCTCTGCAAATGAAGCGCAGGAAAGTGAGCAACCACCCTGCCCTCAGCTGGGATTCTGCTTTTATAGTTTTCTATCTAGTGAATATTCAGTTAAGGGGGTGGTTCCCAGTCGTATGCACCAGAATGTTCTGTGCTCTCTATTGAGCTTGCCCAGCCACTGGATTTGCATAAGCCAGCCCCCTGTTGTCTCATTTTCCCCTGTGTGGGTGCTAAGAATAGGTGGAACTGGCAACAGTAACTTAGCTCCAGGGGGAGCTCAGAGGAGGGGGCCTGAGAACTCGGAGTGGCTGGAAACCCAGAGGCCTGTGCTGAGACCCCAGCCGAGGGAAACTGAGCACCTCCTGTAGCCGTGGGAAGAGAGAAGTGGTGGAGACCGAGGCCACCTTACCTTGTTGCAGAGCAGCAGGCCCGCAGAGGGGATAACGCGCTGGCGGGGAGAGGGAGAAGAGGCTGCCGAAGGCGTGGAAACGGCGGGTACCGAGGGACAAGTGAGGCTGGGTTTGGTAACAGGGAGAAGTATATCTTTTTGTAATATTGCTAATAATCATAAAATTGTCCTAAAATAGTTAAGGGAATATAACAAATATCATCCCCATCCTCCCTGCTGCTGGACGGCAGTCACAACCTTGTCGCCGTCCCTTCTTTGCATTGCTCCCGTCTCTGTGGGTTCGTGCCTCCCTTTCTCTTGCTTGGGCGGCTTTAGAGAGCGTCAGGAGCACATGTGGTCACCCCGGGCGCTGCCACCTGGTGGGGACGGCAGCACCGCCCTGTCACATGCGCTCACGCTCCTTACAGTGCCGCCTGCTCCGCGGTAAATTAAAGAACAACAGGAGGTCACTCTCACTTCCAAAATTGGGTAAAACGTTGACCTCACTTACCCGGTTATAAATATCTCTGTACGAACATAGTTAACATGCAGAGACTGGTGTCGGTTCATCTCCTTACTTCATTTCTCTGCAGAGCTGACCTCAGACACTCATGTGAGTTGTTCCTGTCACGCAGCCTAAGCCTGCAGTGCTCGGTGTGGCCGCCGCATCCTGAGTGGCCCATCCAAAGTGACATTAGGACCATGATCATCATGTGTTTCACAGATGACAAGAAAACAAACAGCGATTTCATTACAGGGCCAAAAAATCAGTGAAAGTGATTTATATGAAACAAAAAAATGAAAGTTAACTGTCTTTTGAAAGACGCTTGCATCCCGTGATTCCATAGGGTAAGGGACTGAGAGGGACGTGTAAAGCAGAGAGATATCGAGAATTAGTGGAAATTTAGAGCTGGGATGAACCCTAGACTCGTGGCGCAGTCTTCTCATGCTGCAGCAGAGAGGCATCCCGAGGCTTCACAACTGAGCTAAAATCTCACCACTGCTGAGTGGTAAAGCGCAGTTTGATCTGAGACCAGCAACTGCAAACCAAGTGGCGCTTGCACCCACCACACTGTTCGCTGCGTTTCCCGCGTGTCTGTGTTCAGACCGAAGCAGTCAGGGCTTTGGTTTCCTGGGTAAATAATTGTTTCTGACATTTTCAGATCCACCTAGAAGAAAGGTTTGCATTTACTTTGGAGAGTGAAAGTACTTCTGTGTCCAACACAGAAAAGAGAGCTCTGCTTGGCTCCCGGGAAGTTCACTTCCTTTACTATGTAGCCCAGAGGCGTCTTACTGGAGTGTCAGCCCCTGGATAATAGGACTGGATTTCTAGAATTAGCAGTGTGAAGCCATTATGGTGTTTTACAGATTTAATATCGTTCAGAATCGCACTCACAAGAGAGCACATAGGGATGAGCACTCGGTGAGCTTATTTAACAGTCCTAGCCTGCGCTCAGTGTGCCATCATTCCTGGCTGCCAAGTGTCTGCCCAGCAGTCAGGAGGCCCCAGGAGCTGCCACTGCTCTCCAAGGACCCAGGGCTCTTAACAGATTGCTGCTCCAGTGGGCAGTGGGGAGGGGTGGCCCCGAGGGCCTATTCCAGACTCTTCCACCACTGAGTCACATGAGCAACTAGTGAACATTTGCTGGAATCTGATGTGGGATCGACATTTGTTTCTAAATCATGTTGGGCACCCCTGGTAACCTCGGACAGAAAGAGGTAAAATGAGCTCTTTCTGGCTGGATCTCCCTTTTTAGAAGGTGAGAACTGACTGTCAGCAGCACTGTTTGCAAAGTGGGTCCAAGGTAGGATGAAGGGAAAGGGCTGGAGCTGGGGACCTGAAAGGCCAGAGGCGGGTGGTGCACCCTCTCCCCGTAAAGGTGTGCCATCTGTGGCGTGCATTCACGTCAGAGTGACACGTTTGTGTCCTTCCCTGAGGTGGGAATCTGCCAACCAATGGAGAAGAAACTCCCTCCAGAAACACCTGACATAGGGCAGGTGTTTCCAAAATCCATTGGCACTTCCATAGCAACACCAAAGCACATGTGACTTCACTACCTAATTCTGGCAAATGATAACTGAATTAAAGAATAATGTAAGCAAATGAATTTCCTCTCCATGGCCTGTGGGACTGTGATTGGGTTATGCACAAATTCAGATTGATTTGCTAATATACATTTAGCTGTTCAACTCTGAGCTTAATTGCATTACTTCACTGGTCTTTCAGCATGACACATGGAAAATTATGAGGAATAACAAATAATAGAATGTGAAATAAATCCTGTTAGCCCTAATGTAGTTAGCACTTTGCAGCAGACATCCATTTTATAGATTCAAGCTGGAGGAATACTAACTCAGAGACGATGACATGGTAACTGAGTTAAGGAGGAGAAAATGTGCTTAACGCTGACCTTTCTTGAAATGTGTCAACCCTAGCCTGATTACTTTGACTTCAGCTGATTAAATTTACTGCCTTCCGCAGACTGGAAACCCTATGTGATGCATTATCATGTAAAGTTGAATGACAGTAATGGAGACCCTCCTCCTAGGCCCCCGGTTCCTGACAAATCGTTTCCCGAAGTAGCGAAGTATTTATTTTCCTTTATGATAGAAATGTTTCTCTTTAGTTGCTATGAAATTAAGCCTTTGTAATTGGATTTTGGACTCTTTACTTTATGACTCTGCAAATATGAAATTAACCCCATGCTAAGAAATAATAGAGCAGTCTACGTTCTAATGAGATTACCCCCATTTTAGATAATGACTCTGAATTTAATAAATCAAACAAAGCAACAATTAAGGACAGCTGCTGTTTCTCCTCCCCCTTCCACCAGGAGGGGAAGAAAATAACCATACAGGAATTACAGGTGACAGACCCTCTGAGAGATGCAGATCGTAATGAGGACTATTATTGGGTTGCTTCTCTTTTTAAAATATCTGCTCTCAACCCTCTTCGAATGATGGGATTCTTTTAAACAATATCTGGCATCAAATTGGACAATTGGAAGGTGGTTCCTTGAGGGAAGAGGGTGTTTTAGTGGTCATCCACTGCTCAGAAGATTGTCTGTAATCTGATTCGTTTTCTTACTTAATCATTCTCCCTTTTTGGTATTTGTTTTGTCATGTGATAAACAGATCTTCATTTATTACATTTGCCTTAAAGAAACCTCCTGGTGGTTGTAGGAGCTACTGAAAGCACTCACATAAATTTAGACGGTTTAACATCATAGAATTTAAGATTTCCTGATGTCTTCATGATTTATTTATTTTTCATGACACATGTCACATGACCAGACACAAGGTCAGGTTCAGATCATGCAACATATGCTGTACTACACACCAGTGTGCAGCCTTTCATGTGGGTTATCAGTTGGAAGGAAGGGACCCAAACCACCACACACACATCAAGGCTAGACTGAGTTTTCAACTCAGCTGAAGAAATACTGTTTTGTTGGGTGTGAGTTGCTCACTCAAGGCAGGTACAGATACAGCACCAGAGCCTTAGCCTCTGCTGGCCCCAGGGTCCCTGGCTGGAGGTGGGGTGAGCAGCCGCACTGGCTGTCAACACAGGGAAAGGCCCTGCCCAATCTACTCTGTGATCTTTCACGTTCACTGAGCATTACCATTCTGGAAGAAGCTCCCCTAAGAATCCACGTGCTTCTCTTTAAGGACATGTCTACTAATGTCTATCTTTGCTGGATTTTGAGCCAAATTCAGAGTAAAGTAGGCTATATCCTCACCTAGGAGGAGAAAGCAGTGAAGCAGGATGAATTTTTCTACCTCACTTTATACTGTCTATTTGAACATCATAGTGGACTTTGGCCTTTCAGAGTCTCCCAGTTACTACAATCTTTGTTTTGCTTTTTAATTTCTTGAAACATCATACATGGGGCCATGGGAACCTTTTAAGCAGCTCCTTGGCTGTCAATTCTCTTCATCTTTGAAAGATGAAGAATCCTTGAAAAGAATCCTTGCCTGTGTGGGTCAACATGGTCTAGGTGCATCCGTGTTTCCCTACCCCAGACATGGGATTGACTTAAATGCCGAGCAGCTCAGGTTTCTTATAGTGGAATATATTAGAGAACAAAATTGGAGTGGTAGAGACACACGTTATATTGTTACAGTTAAACACCAGTGTTAGGTTAGGGTACCAGCATTTTAGAGATGGAGCTGTGTATTAGTCCATTTCTGTTGTTTATAATAAAAATATCTGGAACTGGGTAATTTGTAAGAAAATGAAATTTATGGCTTTCAGTTTTAGAGGTGGGGAAATCCAAACTCCGGGGAGCACATCTGGTGAGGCTCTTGGTGGTGGCTTTACAGCAATGCAGGGGGCTCACATGGCAGAAAATGGCAGAGCAGAGAGAGAGAGACTCTCCGGTCTCTTTTTAAAAAAGAAAAAGGGCTCTCCTTTTAAAGCCCTCAGAACCACGCCCCTGACCACCATTATTGATCCATTCATTATGGCGTGGTTCCACAGTCTAATCACCTCTTCAAGGCCCCACCTTTCAATTACCATAATAGGATTTCCTACCCTCAACAGTTTCAGCGGGGATTAAATTTTGGGGTGACGTCCAACTTCAGACAAACTGGAAAATTACCTTTCCTCCAAAAGTGCATGACTTCCTATCTAATAGTACCTGTAACTTCACTGTTTCTATTTGACTTTCTACGTAAGAGAGTTTTAAAACCCAGTCCCTTCTCTTTTTTTTTTCTGAGCTACCAGCTTTCTCTTTGTCCACTGATTTTTGTGTGTTGTACCCATGCATTTCATTCAGTTGAAGATCTCTCTTTTCCCTGAAGCCATCTTCTTTTCACAGTAGGTTTTAAGTAGATTCATTTTACGATCTCTCCTCATTTAATAGATGTAGCCATGTTGCACAGAGAGGGAGATCGAGAATAATCAGCTGCTTCTGTATGGATTCCACTGTGGGTCTTCTGTACAATGCAAGAGATGGCTCGTTCCACTCTTGCAGAGAATTCTCATCAAGTGCGTGCTTTGAGTGAACCAGATCTGGTTCCTGATCTCGTGAGCTTCAGTCTGGTGGAGAGCTGAGGCAGTTTTCAAATAACTGCAGTAGAGTGTGACGAGAGCTTTGATCAGGGCAATGGGAGGGGCTGTGCAAGCACTTGTCCTGGGGTGAGCATGACTGAGGAGTCAGAGAACTCCTTCTGGAGGGAGAAGCATTGATGTCAAGATGCTGGACAGTTAAACCAACCCTATAAATTAGCAGAGGCTTTAAGAGGGGCCATTTGAAAGAAGGCACCTATGGGCAACCTAAACCTAAACATAAGAGGAACAGTATGGATATCTTGATGTTTCAGAGTCATCCTCGAGCTCATTGCTCGGATGGAGCTGAGCAGGGAAGAGTGCACAGGATGCTTAGGCAGGTATGTGTGTGAGCTCAGCATTAACCTGCCTCCCAGGGTTGATTCATGTTCATGTGCTTGGTATTTCAGTCTCTCCTCCGGATCCTGGAGACTGCCAAGGGCCGTGCTGCTTTCAGAGTCTCCAGCGGGTTCAACGGGCTGCTGTCCCTGCTCTCCGACCTGGAGGGCTCCCTCCACGGACCCACGCTGCAGACATGGGGAGCGGTGTCCCCCAGCCAGACCCTGGAGCTGGTGCTGCACACGCTCTGTGCCCTATCTGCAGCACTGCACCTGGACCCTGTCAACGGGGACTTCTTCAGGAGGAACGGGCTCTTCGAGAAGCTGGCCGAGGACCTCTGCTTGCTGGGCTGTTTTGGGGCCCCAGAGGAAGAGGGAGCCCCTCTGTCCTCCTGGGCTGACACAAAGCCCAGGCCATTTGCTGACTTGCTGAGTGCTGCCTTTGCCTCCTGCAGCCCACTCCCACCCAGCATGCAGAGCTGCCTCCAGATCCTCAGCTTTCTGGACAGCATGGCCAGGGGCACCCTCCACCTGCACTGGGACCTGAAGGAGTCCCCGAGGGCTGGGCAGGAGCTGGTCGTGGATGCCCAGAAGGAGGACACCGGCAGTGACCCCAAAGGCAGCTTCAAGCAGTGGCCAAACCTGCAGGACAGGTAGAGCTCTGATGCCTTCTTCTGCCCTGGGGTCATCAGTGTGTCTCCGTTTCCCTTTTCTTACTCAATTGTCCTGCGTATGTGCCTTAGGTAGGAAGGCCCAGTTAACAGATTGGGTGTACGGAAATGTCACTCGCTTTCTTTCTTTAAATCAAGTTAGCTCTGACTCCGAGCTCACCTATCCTGGGAGCTGGAAGAAAATTCAATCCGAGTCAGTACAGGGTTGGAGGATGTTGTTGAGTCCTGTAAGAACCAGCGAGGTTTGCAGGATGCCCAGCAACTGAGGGCACGACTTGCTGATAGACTCACTTTCTCCTTTGGGACCTTCACTGCTCTGGGGAGCCATGATGCTGGGCTCAGCCTCCCTAGGTGTGCCAGGCAGCTTTTGACATCTGAGGTCCTATCTCCTCCTTGCCTGGCTGTGGGGTGAGTTCCTTCAATTTGCAGGACACAAACTACTGTATCTTTCCCAATCATGGGGCTCTTTCTGTTTTTTCTTGTTGCTTCCTCTCTCCTTGACAGACAATCTCTCTCCTCTTACTTTGGCAGACCAAACCCCTCAAAGAGTTCAGACTTTTGCAAACAACTTTTTACTTTCATTGCTGGAACAGAATTCCACTAAAGCAAGAGAGCACAAAGAACCATCCACACACCCCCTTGGGATGGGAGAGAAAACAAAAGAACACAACAGAAATAGTTGGTATCTTTTTTTCATTCTGCTAAAGCAGCAATAACAACACTAATATTGCAATAAACTATCCTTCTGAAAGACACTGCACATTTTTATCTAAGGAGAGGCCCCGTTTACCAGACTTCGATGCTGGGGGCTGGTGGTGAGGGGGATGGATGTTAAATCTCCCCATACCAAGATAATCATCAGGGTTTTTTTGTTCGTTTCATTGGTTAATCTGATAAAGTAATTGGTTTCCAAATCTTGCATTCCTGCACAAACCAACTTGCTCGTGAAATATTTATTGCTGAATTTGATTTGCTAAGTTCTGAAAAGGATGTTTGCCTTGTGTTCACGAGAGAGTTTGGGTTTCCCTTCTCCTCTCCTGACTTTTTATTATCAAATTCGTGCTAGCCTCATATTGTCACTTGGACAGTGTTTTGCTTCTATTCTCCGGAAGAGTATATGTAAAGATTGTTTATGTCTCTTCCTTAGCTATGTGATAGAACTTGCCAGGAGAACCTCGTGAGCCTGTTGTTTTCTTGTGAGATTTATTCTTGTGAGAATAAATTTTTATTTATTCCTGAGTTATTCTTGGTAAGTTATTTTTCAAGATTATTCTTCCATTTCCTCTAAGTTTTGATTTATTGGCACAGGCTGCTCTCGACAGCTTCCTACGTTTATCCCCTTAGCAGCTGTGTGCTGTTCCCGGCTCTCGTTCCTAACATCAGTTACGTCTTCTCTTACATTCTCCCCTTCAGCATTCTGGCCAGAGGTTTAACTTTTAGTGTGTCCTACAAACCAGCTTTTGGCTTTTTCTGTTCCCGGCTCTCGTTCCTAACATCAGTTACGTCTTCTCTTACATTCTCCCCTTCAGCATCCTGGCCAGAGGTTTAACTTTTAGTGTGTCCTACAAACTAGCTTTTGGCTTTTCCCGTTTCCTACTTCAACTTTCTATTTTGTTATTTTTGTTTTTATTGTTTCCTTCTAACTTTGGGCTTATTCTGGTATTTTTTTCTTAACTTGGACAATTAGGATACTAATTTTCAGTCTTCTTTTTAAATACAAATTTCTCTGTAATCCATAAGTTTTAGTTTCAATATTATTTAGTACTAAATATTTTTCTAATTTCTCTGAGGATTTATAGTTGACTCTTGAGTGTTGCTAGAATTTTGAATTTCCAACGTTACGGAGTGTTTCTGGGCATCTTTTTTTTTATTGACGTCTAACTTTATCATGGTGATAGAAGGTGAGATATGTGAATTTCATCCTTTGAAATTAGTCGAGGTTGGCTTCATGGTCCCCAGGGTGGAACATTTTCGTAAATATGCCATGTGTGTTTCATAAAGAATGCATGTTCTCCAATTGTCAGGTTCTATGTTCTATTTATATCCACTGGATCGATTCATCAATTGTTTAATTCAAATTTCCCCTATCATTAAATTCTTCAATCTGCTTGACATGTCGGTTATTGAGAAAGATACTTTAAAAAATCTCTTATTGTAATGGTAGATATGTCAGTTTCTGTTATTTTTTGCTTTACATCTATTTGAGGCTATAAGAATCATACAAATTTAGAATTTTATATACTTATGGAGTCTAAAATTTTATTATTATATGGTGACTTTTTTTATCTGTAGCAGTACACTTTGCCTTAATTCCAATTTTATTAATAATAATAGGACTATATCAGGTTTCTTTTGGTTAGAATGTGCCAGGATTTTTTTTAAAAATCTGTTTGTTATAACATTGCTGTGTCCCGTCTCTATGTTTTAGGTGTTTCTCTTGTAAACAATTCAAAGCTATTTTTCTTTCGCTTTACTTTGTTTTTAAAGCTAGGGGGGTATTTTTGTCATTTAACTCGAGAATATGATTTGTTTAAATTTTATTATTATTTGTATATATTTGGGATAATTTCTGCTTTCCTATTTTATATTTTCCATTTGTCCCACTTTTTACTTTTGTTTTCTTGTCTTCTTCTGAATTATTTCAGTGTTTTTTTTTTTATTATTTGTTTTTTTCCATCTGTTAGTTTGGACTTACACTCTCTATAATTAGTCTTTTAGTGGTTATTCTTTTTTTTTTTTCCTTTTGTCTTTTTTCGTGACCGGCAACGGATCGCAACCCTCAGTGTCGCGCCCGTACCGGACCGGGACCAGCAATGGGATCGCAACCCTCGGTGTTGCACCCGCACCTCACTCAGCCAGTGAGCGGCCGGTCTGTACGTGGGATCCGAACCTCTCCCAAGCGGCGCACTGTAGCAGTGTGCCACCAGGCCGGCCCTTTTAGTGGTTATTCTGAAATAATGTAATGTTATTTAATGTTTAAAGTTAAATAAT